TTTACCTCCATATGAAGGTCGTCTTTATAGTTATTATTTAATTCACATTTTTCATTTGTTTTAATAATTGCTCTGAAAACATACATATTACGATTTTGTTGACCTCCACCTATTTCCGCAATTAAATTCACTTTTGTTTCTGCAAATTCTAATTATACAATAAAATTCACTTTTTATCCAAACATGCCATTACAACAAACAAACAAAAAACGATTCTCATGCAAAATCAAATCATATTTTTTTATTTTGCACAAAGCAATTTCAACAAACGACCTTCAAGACCGTGAGATTCACTCCTTTGTTAATGAACAATAGACAGCAGACAAGCAGATCACCACCATAGATCAGATAACACAATTTATTACTACTCACACTACAGCTGTTCGTCGTTTCGTCTTTATTGAAACTTCAATTGTAAAGCTCCAGCTGTACATATGCAATGGATATGCAGTTACAGAGTACAGATGTACATATGCAATGGAGATGCAGTTACTGAGTTGTTTAGATATATTAATAATATGATACTATGACATTAGGTTCGTTCGTTTACTCAATAATTTGTACGAATTTGTACAAATTATTACAAAATGTTGTTCGTTTACTCAAAAGTCCAGTAAAAGAGAGTGAATTGAGAGAGCAGATTTGACAGTTGTGTTACTGAGTATTTGCAAATTCTTACAAGGAAAATTTACTCAGTAAGAATTTTCTTGTACCATCAGCTGATATTTAATCAGCTGTTTTGCTATATTTTGTAAACAAACAACAAAATTGTCCTCAACCAAATTGATTGTTTTGTGAATTTTATATTGATTTTGTATTATTAAACATTAAAATTGATGAAGAAAACGCAAGTATTGGTAAACAACATTCATTTTCCGATTGTTATCCATTTTTCTAATAAAAATGCTGTTTTTTAGTTTGCGCAAATTAGTTTGTTGTTTTAATCAGCTGTGTCGAAACAATCTTTTTACTGGATGTTGTTCGTTTACTTTTTGCAGTATTCTCTCTTGAAAAGGAAAAATTCGTATTTACTCTCTGCAAATTCTTACTGAGTAAATATTACTGGGAAAGTAAACGAACGAACCTATTATAAATGTTCGCACATGGAGTGAAAACGGAACTTGCTGTATATTGAATATAATTGCTTACTATCGTTTTCATGATTATAATTGAAAACATATTTAAGCGAAAGCAATCGTCCGAAATGTGATATGTCTCAGAACACGATCAGCATGATTTCGTTTTGGATAAGAATGACTATTGACATTCTCGCAAAAACCACTTCTTCCTGATTTTCTCCACAGACTGCAGGACCATTCCTTGCATATGGCTCGCGTACACATCATTCCATACTATACATATCCAAATAGTAGTCGTTGGACTTGGACACTCTAAGAACGAATGTCGCCAGAGCATTTATGGATTTAGTCCACCTAAATCCGTCTGATGCTAATTGAGTAGTGGGTCCAAATGATCGGAAACACCTGCCAGGCTGATGTGTTAATCTGGATTGATATTGGTCCCAAATGGATAATACGATACCATATACATACGTTGTATGTGAACTAGGACCACACGATACACAGAGCCTGTTTTACTGTTCACATAAACCCTCTCATCTGCCTCCAAATCAACTTTGGACACAATAATACACGTAGAATTATTAGAATTGGAATTACAAAACATAGACCTATTAAGTGGCTACGAAAAATACTACTGTGTTTTAACTTTCTCCGTATCTAAAGCGCTACATCAGAAACATTCCAGTGCGATAATGGTAATACTAAACCGTATCAGAATATGCAGATCCCTTTAGCTGGATAAAAAATAAAAATAAAAAAAAGAACTATCACATATCCATTCACATACATTAGTATAATTGATCCTTTTTAACCCCACTCCCTGTGACAAACTTCGTGTAGTAGGATAATTATTTTGGCCTGGAGATCAACCAGAACACACAAGCAAGCAAGCTGAATTTTTAATTATCAACTCCACCATCAACAAAAACTATAAATGTAGACCTTCATTTCCAAGACAGAGGGTTTACGATCCGAAACAACTCAAATCTTATCCGACCAACGTCGGTTACCTCAACGCTGCAATAGGGCTGCTACAACAACAACTGCTTAAATGTGGTTCTAAGCCCAATACATAACATAATGCCGCATGACATTAGTTTCACAATTGCGACACATTAAAGAGATTCTTGATCCAGCTAGTCAGTACGTTAAATACACAGCTAAATTATAATAAGTGCAGACCATTGTGTTCCTCCACAGGCCAAATGCTAACGATCAAATAAACGATAACAAATTCCACACAATCCACATAGGTTTTGAGTCACCCAATTTTGGTAGTCTATAGTTCTCTTTTTTGGTGGAAGTATCCGGATAATATAATTAGTGGTTAAGCACCCATCTGATAGGGCATTCATTGGTTATTTTCAGCTCAAATAATTGAGATGGAAACTTATAAAGGAGGTATTTAAAACGAGTACACTCTTAAAATTCAAAATATTATTGAATCATTTATAAAAACAAAACGTATGCACTCACCGCCTGCTCCATCTTCAATATTCTTTCCGCCAAAATACATTTTTTGCCACAAACAACATAGATTTTAATCTACATCTACAAACAACACCAATTCTATTTAACACATTTATTTGTATAAAATCAAATTGTTTTCACTTTTTTCACAAAATTTTAAACAATATTTTCTATGACGACTTCTCAAAACTATCAACAAAGAACCGTTAGACAAAAACTACTTGTTTACAATTTTAATTGTAATAGAATAAGGTGGTAACATCGATAAGAGTGATGCTAATGTGTATCAAGACCAAAAAATTGTTTATTTTAAGAACCAACAAAACAAATACAGTTGAGAACGTTTATGATTCACACCGGATTATAGCAAACATATTTCCAGGTCCCGAAATTTGAAGACATATTTTTCATATACATATTTACTATTACAGCAAACTATGGTTATTGCGAAGTTCTTTTTTATAATGAACAGTTTTGTCTGTCCCAGCTTTCAGTTTTAATTTATTTATATATCATATGGGCTTTTTAACTTTTTTACCGGATTAACCTACTTTATGAGGATTTATTTTACACATATAGGGTAAGCGCACCAGTAGTCGGCACTTCAAGGATTGTCGCATTTTAAACGCGTGCATTTTTTCACGACATTGTATTTAGGTTCATCTGTTTCGAAATTTTGAATTAATCTGGAATACAAATTTGTTGAATTTATTTGTATTAACGTATTTTTTGTACCCTTCACCACACTGGGGTACAGAGTATTATGTCTTTGTGCATATGTTTGTAACAGGCACAAGGAATCAAAATAGACGCATGTTTGCTTTTGAGAATGTGCATAGAATCACTTTTTGAGTCGATTTTTGTATGTACGTCCGTCTGTATAAGTTAAATTGTAAACAAAGTACAAGTCGCATTTATGACTGAATTGAAATTGAGAAAATCGGTTCAGATTTAGATATAGCTCCCATATATATTTTCGTCCGATTTAATATAAATGGTGTACAAATGTCCCTATATATCTTTCGATTTGAACGAAATTTGGCACATCGTAATGAATTAGGTCTAGAATGTGTTAAGTTTGCTAAAAAATGGATATGCATATATACCAAAATCAATATATATCTTTCGATTTGCATGAAATTTGACATAGCGTAATTAATTAAGTCTGGAATGTTGTGTGTTATGTTGCCTGAAAATCGGTTCAGATTAAGATAAAACTCCGATATATATTTTCGTCCGATAATATTAATGTATAATGGAAATTTGGCACATCGTAATGAATTAGGTCTAGAATGTGTTAAGTTTGCTAAAAAACGGTTCAGATTTAGATATAGCTCCCATATATATTTATATTAAATGGTTTCTGTCGGAAATATTAATAATTTCTAATCAAATCAAATAGCGAATTCGCATTTTATTAATTTTGCAGGTTTAGAGATATGTGACAGAATTGGACTGTTCATTTGGTAAATCTATGGACTATTTTTCTACTTCCTCCATTCCTTCTTATACCACCTCTACAAAGGGTCGATATTTTGAAAACTTGTACATCTCATATACATCTTATACACTTGGCACACTGTAATATGTTTACCTTACCAAGATTATATCGTCAGACCACTTCTCTCTGTTATCAACCCTATCCCTACCGACACAACCAAATACAAATTTAATAGCGTTCTAAATCGCTATCCAGAGAGCTTTTTTCTCTGAATCCCGAATAGGTTCATATTATTTCAAACCCCTCACAAGGCACATTCACTCAAATGTCCTTCCGAAATCATAAATCGCCGTGACTCAATTTCGGCGGTTACCAGATTTTAATTAAAAAGCTTTCTATATTGTTTATAGTTCTTCCCCATTTCCGGCGTTTCAGTATATATTTGTTATTGCAATATTTTCAGATTTTTCCTATACCATACCATTTTTAATCAAATAATAAATAAAAATTAATAAATATTTTTGTTGTAGTTACGCTTTATTGTGGATAAATTAATTTATTTTATATTTCTCTTTTTCGTGGCATGAACGCTTTAACCTCTCTGCTACACACGCGAAAAAAATATATGTATATATCATGTATGCAAATATATTATTAAACTAGCTTAAAATGTAACAAAAAAGTGAGAGAAGAGAACATTTTGTCAATCATCATACATACATCAATCATATAAAAGAATGAAATATATTTATATATAGGAAAATACCTACAAATATATAATATATATGCGTACATAAAACGCCCAAAATACGATAATATTTATATATATACTATATGAAAATATTTTTGTTGATGTTAAATAAAGTAATTTTATGTTTTCTATACGAACATTTATGTTCACTCAAAAAAATATTTGTGTTTTTTTAAAGTCTGTTATCCCGTCAGGTGGATGCCCCAAAACTTTTATTTCATTTTGTTGGTTAGTTAAAACATTTCAGTTGTTGTTGTTTTTTATTTGTTTAGAATTCACGACGATGATACTTATCTGGGTCAAAGTATGATGTGACAACAACACGATCGCTGAATTTACGTCCCGTCAATGCCTGCTGGGCCTTTTGACAATCCATAACCGAATTGAATTCGACAAACACTTTACCACACCCGGGTACATCGACACCCTCTATGGGTCGTGGTATTTCAACACTACGCACAACACCGTATTTATTACATTCCTCCTTGATGTCCTCCAGGATATCCTCATATTCCTCCTCGTCACGCAATTCATCGGGTGTAACCATATTGAGAAGACACAAAACTTCGGTGGGTGGACCAGAAATACCCAACATTGCCAGACCGGGTACTTGAATGGTAACTGGAGCTGCTGTTGCTGAATTGTTTTGGGCATTTTTGGCTCCTACACTGGCACGCTGTACAATGAGCTTTTTATCGCCCAATTGCATACCATTTAGACCGGCAATGGCCTGCCAAACGAGAAAAAAGGAATTTATTAAAAAATAAGTAAAATTTTCAAATAAAAAAAATTACCTGATCTGTTATGGTGTGATCAACATATTCGGTAAAAGCATAACCCTTGCTCAAACCGGTGCCAGTGTCCTTAACCAAATTAAAGGCCCTTAGTTGGCCAAATGACAAGAGCAGCTCTTTAACCTGTGATAAATCGAGAGAAAGGGAAACAAAAATATTGACATTAAATTTTTTTTGGAATAACTATAAAACAAAAAATAAAAACAACAATAATCGTAATATGCAAAAGTTCTGTTTTTTGTTGCAGTGAAAACCTCCTTTGTGTTTTTTTATAAGAACAACCCGCCGCCGAATGGGAATGGAACCTAAAAAAATAATACGCGCTAAATATTTATTTGTTTCACGACGTCACGGTATTTTGCTGCCGTTTCGGAAATACCGATTACCTGCTGTTTCATTTCGTATAACTTTTGGGCTAAAAATTTGACTAAATTTGGGGAGGAAATGTGTACATATAGTTTTTTTCTATTGTGTTGTTTTTTCCTGTAAAAATCAAAAAAGAAACTTGCCTTTTTTGCATGGAGATGGGTATGCTACGAAAAGTAATTGGTTGGCGTTTAGTGTGTGTCTGAGAAATCGTCTGCTCTGCAGTACTAGGAGGAGGCATTGGCTTTGGTTTTTTGTTTGTTTGGTTGACATGTAGTAGTAGTAGGGCGAATATCGGAATGAAGGACTCAAAACAAGTGTGTAACAACAAAAATAATTCGAATGTTACGGCACAACAACAACACCACCACAACCGCCACCTAAGCTGCAAGAATACCACGAAATTATTAATATAGGTGTTTAATAATTAAGACAAAAAAACAAACAACAAAAGTTCCATAGTTCTTTTGAGCTGCAAAAAATGTTTATTTATATAGCCTGTAATAAAACGTTATATAAACGAAGAAGTAATACAATTTTGTATTCGCATTTGCAGCCATTACTTCTTTTGTTTTTGTTAAGAAAAGTCTTGGTCTTTGCATAGCTGAAACAAAAACAACAATTTATATTCTAAAAAAATACCGCTGAGCTAAAGCTGCAAAAAAATAATAAACACACATAACCATTTATTGCTGAAAGAACCTATAAACGGGGTATTGCATTTTCCATCACCATCCCAAATATAAACCAAAGCTGAAACAGAATTTTTTAGATAATTTACATCTCCAAACAGGCTAGGGAAAATCTATATACATTGTGTATATAATATTGTTGCATCTCCACACTTTTTTTACTATTATAGATTTTTTTCCACAAAGTAGTTTTACGCTGAAACAAAAACAACTGCAATTTTTTTTTGTTTAATCAAAAGATTAAGGTACAGTTACATAGAGAAGTTTCGACTAAATTCTTGTAACTAGATATCTACCACCATATAAAGTTGACTCCAGATCCTTTCGAATATTAATGGTTAATGGTTAAGATGGATTTAAACGTTTTCCGAACTGTATAAATTGGACTCGTGCTATATATGTCGATAGTCAAGCCGTCCTTCATGGAAAATAAATTCGAAAACACAAAGTGAGTAAGTGAGAATGCGTTTTAACCATTTACTAACACGAGAGGTTTACTAACTCGGAAGACAAACTGAGACAAATTCAAAGACAAAACAGCATCCTCAATCCTGGGTCATAAAGATCTCAAAACGGTTGAGGAAGAGCTACTCTTTTGAAGAGCTATAGGGCTTCATGTCCTTTAACAAACCCTGGGAAAATATCTCAGCCATTATGGTGGTCACAAAACCTTGCAGCCTTGCAGACAAAACTCAGTACAGATTGGGACGTTTAACTTCAACCACTTCTCTCGTTGTAAGGACCATAATGAGGATGTGCAGTGTGCGCATCAACATATGGTTCGAAAGAGGGAGGAGGAGATGCTGATAGAAAACACTATAAGTTATCCAAAACTGGTATGGGCGATAAATAGTTTTCATTCCTATAAGGCCAATTTGGTATAATACCGGCCATGCTGCAACATGCAGATGAACGAGTATTAGCCTCTCTGCAAGACATTTTTAGGGCTTGTCTACTTCTATCGTACATACCTAGTCTATGTACAGAGGAAATAGTGACCATCATCCCGAAATCCGCGAATCCGAATCATACGCTACCAAAGGACTATAGACCGATTAGCCTCTCATCCTTTCTAAATTACTAAACTCAGAAATTAGAAATACTATTGATCAAAAAAAATTAGCAACTCCCAGCATGCCTACATCAAAGGCCAATCAGTGGATACGGCCTTACAAGAGGTGGTTGGACGCATTGAGAAGAATAAGGAGTCATCCGTCTACACTTTGGCAGAGGTCCTTGATAATGAGGGAGCTTTAAACAATGTGAAGCTAGAGGCATCTATTCTGCTCTCGTAAGCTCAGGTATCCCCTCACTTCTAACGGGCTGGATATATAGAATGATGGAAAGCAAAATTATCAACTCATCCTTAGGAGAGTTCCGTGAGGAAGTCTGTCAACAGAGGCACACTACAGGGAGGAGTATTACCTCCCCTTCTGTGGCTTCCTGTGATAAATGAGATACTGCTGAAATTAGATCATTTTAAAAATTAAAGGTTGTAGCATATGCCAAGACTACATCTTGCTGGTTGGTGGGAAATTTCTAATGACCATTTCAGATATTATGGAGGGCGCCCATTCAACTCTGTCCAACTGGGCACACGCCAAGGGTCTTGGTGTAAAAGAGAATTGGTGCTATTCACTAGGAAACATAAGATTCCTAGTTTCCGCTTGCCATCTTTGGGAGGAGTGACCCTATCCCTCTCTGAAGAAGCAAAATACCTTGGTGCAATGCTTGACCGCAAATTAACGTGGAATAGGAATGTTGGGGAACACTCTAAGAAAGGACTGATAGCACTCTACTTTTGCAAGAACTCCATAGGAAAGAGCTGGGACTAAGACCAGAGATCATACACTGGCTGTATGTGACGGTCGTTCTCCCCATTCTTACATATGGTTGCCTTGTATGGTGGCAGGGGGTCAACAAAAAGATACTGTTGACAAAATTAGATTCAGTGTAGAGATCCTCTTCGCTGACTAGCGGAGCACTAAAAAGCACACCGCAAGTAGCGATCTTGAATCTCCAACCACTGGACATTCTAATTAAATTCCAGGCTGCTAGATGTGCCCTGAGGCTCCGAGAAGCGGATGCCTGGAAATAGCTGAACTATGGTCACGCTAGAATCCTCAACATAACGCCTGGCTATGATATATTGAGGAGAAATACTCGCATTAGTGACTATGTTCCCCCTCATAGAGACTTTAATGACATCAGAGTAGATATTCCTAGTAGGGAATGCTGGACTAACTAGGGTATTAAAAGTATTAGGACTTAGGTGGGAAATATTTTCGATGCTATATTTGCGAAGCACTTTAGGTTTCTAATGATGATGTAGATTAAAGCAGGTTCCATAGTAGAAAAGAAACTTAGACACGGTGGAAAGTGAGCACCCACTAGTCTGTGCCGTCTGTAGGTCAGGACTGAACAGCGACACAGGCGATGCTCAATTGTCTCCTCCTCGTCAACACAGAGAGTCTCCAGTAATCAGTAACATCATGATCCCATTTACTGGTAAAGTTCCTGATATTGCAATGACCAGTAATGACTCCTGTCATTACTCTAATTTCAACTTTGCTCCGGTTCGACAGTGTGTTTGTTCTCTTGGTTGACAGAGTCGGGCCAGATAGATCTTGACACATTGGCACATAGCTCCGTTGTGGCAGAGTTCATTGGCTCGTTCGTCGAAGAACGCCCCCAAAGTTCCAAAAAAGTTGACAGATGGGTGGTTTGATTGAGTCATCGATTATTAGATCTGTAGATTGAGATCCTCGTCTAGCTAATTCGTCTGCCTTTTCATTCAATGTTTGGATCAAAGCAGACATGACAATTCACTAGATATTAGATTTTCAAAATGTTGACACTACATAGAAATGGACCGATTAATGCCTTCATCGGACAAGATCTAGACTTGGTAAAAGTATTACAATGTACATGGTTTGAATTAAATCGAAATGCAAAAATATTGATATTGGACTTTCACATTTTAAAATGTTGACTCTTTGTGGGAAGATATCAACATGAGAGGACCGATCAAAATACTACGATATGTCATGTTTAGATGAAATCGAATATTCCGTTAGCTTCATACGAGATTTAAAAAAAATTTCAAATGTAGACTTTGATGAGGCATTCTTGATTTCTTTAGCTTTATCTCCCAATTTGCCCAAGAAAATTTGGAATTTTAACACAATATCAGATTGTTATCCAGGCCTCCTTAGCAGGAGTGTTCATCAAAGTAAAAAATTAGCATGTTGTGTCTCTATAGCTAACAACAAGTTGTTTATCTTTTTTTCTTCTTCTTCGTTACCTAACGTTAAATACAGATCCGAGTTAATTACATTTAAATAGGTACAAGGACATGATCTCAACAATATCTTCTGATCTTTGTCACAAAAATTCAGTGCCATTAGTTACGGTTAAGGAACTGATTGCTTCTATGTTATTAGAAATTAATTATCCTGGAGATAAAAATTCTTCCTCAAGCTAAAAATTAAGTTCGCCGCCATAATCATTGCGCATGAACTAGTTTATAAGGGGTCACAAAATGACTCTAACATGTTATGGCCTTAAAAGTCATCTAAGCATAAAATGTTAATAAAAATAAACTAATTCTGTAACTCTTATCATGCACTGAATAATGAGAAATTATATCTTATATTAATATTGTTCCGAAGGATAATTTTCGATCTCGATAAATTTCACAATTCTATCTCAACATGTCATTCTCTCAAATCGAAACGCGCACTAATTTACGATGGGTGTAAGATATGCAAGGTTGTCGATAGAAAGATCTACAATAAAATTTCGCTATTTTGTTGACAAATAACATTTTTCACCAATACTTGTTATATGCTGCAAAATGTTTAAAGATTTAAGGGTGGTGGTAATGAGAAATAATATTAACAACTTTGTGTACACACACACAACATCCCTTTTTTGTATTGGAAATCTGTGCTGTGGAAAATTGTCAAGGATTAAATGCGATAAGAAATGTGTTAACTTCAAAAATGAAACTAAACATTTCGTCAATGTCGTCAACAGAATGTCATTAAATACCTGTTCCTCGTTCAGATAATTTGGTAAACCACCAATAAATATTTTATGCGGAGAATCTGGAACCACTGTGGAAATAACACCATTTGCTAAAAGGGAGTAACAAATAAACAAAAATAATTAATATTCTATTCAATTATATTTTTCAACAACAACAAAATGAACTTACAAACTGGCTGTGGCATGGGTGAGGCATCAACAACACCCGGCATCGGTTGGTAATCATGCGGTCGACGTATCTTCAAACTTTGCCCCTTAAAGTTAATTCCATCAAATGCCATGGCCTGTGTTGTCTCATCGGTTGAGCGGAATTCAAGGAATGCAAAATTTTTGTCCAAATTTATTTGACAAGCCAACACCGGATTGCCGTCAGCCTGTGCCAAACCGGTCAAATGCATTTGTTGATTAAAAAATTCCATCATTTCTTCTTCGGTAACACCGAACGGTATATTGCCGACATACAAACGACGAGCTTGCCTTGTAATGGTCGAACCGACAACCGGCACAGCGGCTTGCGGAATATCGGGTACAGTATTGGCGGGAATTTGTCCGGATGCTTGCATGGCCTTGTATTGCAGCGGTGTAATATGTTCGAATCCTGGTGGTGGCACATCCCAATACAATGAGGGCTTGCGACGCTTTGTGTTGCCCCTGCCGCGGGGACCACTACTGGCGCCGGGTATATTGGCCATGCCACGCTCATCGCGGCGGTCACGACGATCGCGATCACGGGAACGTGAGCGACGCCTATCGCGAGAGCGTGAACGGCTCCTGTGCCTGCGTCTATCACGATCTACAGAAATTGGCAAGAACAAACATTAATATGTTAATCCATACTTTCGTAGCGTGCTGCAATATCATCTGCAGCTAGCGTGCTTGTATACACATTTTTTGTAAAATGTTCATTAATTTTTGTTTTCGCATCACAGACACACACACACAAAAACTTACCATCTGCACCCATTTTATAGAAATTTATGTGATTTAAATAATATTACGGTCCTTGAAATGTGGGAACCGTATTTTCTAAAGGATTTTGTTAATATACGGAGAAAAATATGCTACAATCGTTTAATGATTTTCCTTAGGGATAAGTAAATCGACTTTCGACCAATGAAGCAAACACAAACACAGGGTGATTCACATATTTCACAATTATGTGATTCTATTACAATTACAGTTGTCAATGCAAGTGAACCATGTTTGTCTTAAGATGTCTGACTACACATCAAGTTTGGTGTGTTAAATTTTAAATTGACATATAGTGTAGAAGCGTTAATAAAACTATAAGCCGCGTTTAGACTTTAGAAGGTAGGCCTTATAAATTAACATTTTTTTTCGTATTATGGTTTGTTATGCCAAAGTCGTATACAAAATGTGTGACTGTTTATGTGATATTTTGAAAAATATATTCTAAAATACATTTGATCAAAGATTAATTTTACAACATTGTAATGAAGAAATTTATTATTTTTCATTATTATTATTCATTTTCCGTGTTTTTTTAGGTTCAAAATATGTCAAATCAACAGAACGAATTGTTGCATTTGTTTTTATTTATTCTGACATTATAGTTCACAACGTAGAGGTATATTTTTTTTAATTTTTCACATGTGTATAGCTGCCGACTGATTACAGTTTTCTTCTCACATCGAAACACATAAGAGGACTTTGAAATTTCAAACAAACCTAACTTTACATGCCAGGCCTGACTACTTGTATGTGTTTCCGGCTTAAACAGGGGCTACTTACAATCGGAATGGAGCACCCCAAACTTGACTGTTTTCTAGGAAACGAACAAACATCTCCTATGCAAATGTCAAATATTGATACTCGAACCTTCTACGGAATAGATCCTATCAACATTTTATTTCCCTGCTTTCTACTTTGTTATCCTCTAAGGATAAACCTAATGGAGTAAAGGTCTCCAAGTGAAAAAATTGCTTACAAAAACTTTTCACCCTTTTTCAGAGATAATTTGACATTGAAGAGGGGTGGTCCGTTTGCTTGGCCCAAATAATTGGTCTGTTCTCGTACTGCAATAATCTACTAATTTTTACTATTTTTTCCGATTTCATAAAGGACAAATTGTTACGTAGTAAAAAATTTTACATTCTTGCAGGTTCTGGAACAGACCAAATGTATATTTATGTTTTATATATTTATACATGGTATAATAATAGGTTCGTTCGTTTACTTTCCCAGTAATATTTACTCAGTAAGAATTTGCCGAGAGTAAATACGAATTTTTCCTTCTCAAGAGAGAAAACGGCAAAAAGTAAACGAACAACATCCAGTAAAAAGATTGTTTCGACACAGCTGATTAAAACAACAAACAAATTGGCGCAAACTAAAAAACAGCATTTTTATTAGAAAAATTGATAACAAGGGAACATTTTAGATTTTTTATAAATACATGCGTTTTCTTCATCCATTTTCCTGTTTAATGATACAAAATCAAAATAAAATTCACAAAAGAATCAATTTGCTTGATAACAATTTCGTTGTTTGTTTACAAAACATAACAAAACAGCTGATTAAATATCAGCTGATGGTACAAGAAAATTTTTACTGAGTAAATTTTCCTTGCAAGAATTTGCAAATACTCAGTAACACAACTGTCAAATCTGCTCTCTCAATTCACTCTCTTTTACTGGACTTTTGGGTAAACGAACAACATTTTGTAATAATTTGTACAAATTCGTTCAAATTATTGAGTAAACGAACGAACCTAATAAAAGGTAACAGCAAGTGTTGTTGTACAAAAAACGATACAACAACTACATGGAAATTTGTTTTTGTAAGTTCTACTAGTGTCAACTCATTTGACAGAAAAATGTAAACAAACAAACAAATTATCATCAAATTATTTTTATTTTGAAAATGAAATATTTTCGAATTCTCAAAATAAAAATTGAAAAACATGAATGAAAATCTATCAAATTTGTATTTCTATCGCTTCCACATCTTTCCTTTAATTGAGCCATTGCCATATACCTATATGTGTAACACATATGAAAATGCTGGGAATAGCGAGTTATTCCTTCAAGAAAGATTTGCTTTCTGAAACTTTCCCAGCAGGCAGATTGAGTAAATTGAATACGGGAGCATATTAATAAAGAACAATTTCAAATTGTATGCGTTTCCAATTTTCCTGTTGGGCGATTTTTAAAAACATAATTTGTCAAATTCATATTCAGCCTTATTCTGGATGTCAATTCCATGTGAATTTACTCGCTCTTTCCCTTCGCCTTATTCTGAACAACATTTTCCAGTGAATTTTTTCGCATTCTCGCTTTCGCCTTATTCTGAATGAAGTTCGAAAGCGAACAAATCCGCTTTGGGGAAAAATTAGGTATTCTGAATTACAGGGAGTAGGAAATTTTGTGCGAAAATTTTCGCTAATAAATTTAAGGGGAGTTGACTACAAAAAAATAAGTAATAACTATTTTTATGAAAAATATTTACACAATACTTATTCTATGACGATTTAGAATATTATAAATGATAGTAAGCAAATTTTTAACTGGAAAACAACCAATAAAATGCCATTGGAAATCCTATTGATAACGATGCATGCTGAAGCAAGTATTGCCAAGAAATGTATAAAGGTAATAAGGAATATTTAAGTCGAGTTTGATTTTTAGAGGCGAAATACAGACATTTTGGGTGAGGATCTGTCTCTCAAGAAAAAAATTTTAAAAATTATGGAAACCCCAAATTTGCCTGATTAGCCGCTTAACAGTGAAAAACTTAAATAAAAATTATGAAAGAACAAAAAAAAAATTTTTTTTAAATTATCGTGTGCATGATTTGATGGAAGAAATAAAGGAGTAGGAGCAAATCATAAAATAACAGGCCATTTTAAGAATCTGAGGAAATAAATATCGAAATTAAATAAAAAGGCACACAATTAGGTAGTGAAATAATAAACTGAATTAATTAATTCAATCGCAGATTTCTTTCCATTATTCGTTGTTGTATTCTCAGTTGTAGTTGTTGCATCAAATTGCATCAAAACAATGAACAGCTGTTTCACATGCCATATTGTAGGTTGCCATATTTTTAAACTTTAATTTATTTTCTTTTAATTACAAAGCATTTATACGGCAGATTATTGATATTTCACATTTTTATTGTTATATAGTTTAAATAACAATAAAAAGTAAAAATTTTTAATAAAAAAATCAAGAAAATGAAATATTGAAAAATATTACACAATTAAATTACAATGGGGCAACACACATTGCAACTTAAATTACAATATGGCCACACACATTACAACTTAAATTACAATATGGCAACACAAATCTATTTTTCAACCACCATTTTCGAAAACTCGAATCAGCATCTCGCATTTTTTGCGTCTCCCTATTCATTCAGAATAAGGCGAGAATGTGAAAGCGAAAAATTTTTTATATGCGAGATATCTCCCAGCGAATATCCAGAATAAGGCTGATTGACACTAGTATTACGTTGGAATCAAATCAGCTGGGATTTGCTGTTACCTTTTATAATTGTACCATGATATTTATATTACAAACTTTTAAGAACAAGCCTGTAAGAACTTCACAATATAGTTTTACAGATTTTACAAATGTATAAACCGATCAGGAAAAAATAAATCATATTTTTATTTAAACAATAATTTATTAAGTGTGTCTTCATTTCGAAATTTACAATTAAATTCTTAATATCTATTCATAATACCAACAAATACAACGATTTATTTTCCAGCCGATGCTATATTTACAAATGTTTTATATTCCATAGCATATTGACTCTTCGATATATTATGATGTGCTGGCAAAAATTTATTATCTTTTGCTGGAATGGTACTATCTGTGTTTAGCCGCTTGGGACCTTTAACTGGCATCCATCCTGATACTGGATTTTTATTTGATAGCATTACATTACGTACAGCCAAATCGAGACCACTTAAAGCTAAGGCATCTTCACGATATTCATTTAAAATTAAATCGCATAAACTAAGACCATTGACAGCATCGACCACATGTTCAATATCTGAGAAATGTGGCAAATAATTGGCGTGTATAAAATCGACAAATTTCTTGGGTTCGGTGACAAAAGCCTGTGCAATATCTGCAGGAGAATGGAGTAAAACATTGGATTCGGTAACTGTAAAGGGAGAAATGCAATGATTATTTTTACGATACTGCAATTTATATTTTGATGGTTACTTACATTTCGGATTAAATATCCTACCCAATGCATGCATCATGGTTACAGATTCATCTCGACCCACTGACTTTAGTGTGGATTGATGTTTTCGTTTTCTCGATGTCTTTTTACTGTTGTCCTGTGAGGATTCTTGTGTGCATTCCACCGGTTTGGTCAACAATTGTGGTGCACCTTTCAGCGATGAAAAATGTAAATTAATCAGAGCATTTCGTATGTCACCCTGGGCAGATAGTATTATTGAATCCATTAATTCTGTTGAGGGTGGACGATACAGATCATTGTATGGTGGTTGACGCATTAACGTACAGAAACGTTTCATGGCTGTTTGCATTAATGTTGTGGCCACTGGATTCAGACTGATGTGGTTGATGAGAAATTTCTGTTTCAGCTGATCATTGAATATGTTGTAGCTTAAATTTAGACCACGTCTTTTGGTGTCTGTTACAATGAATACAAGAGGGGCTTTACCATAGATGGCATAATCACTGTAGAAAGAACATATTTTTTTAGAAATAATTAAAAAAAGCAACCTTGCCTTTTACTTACTCAAGTATCGCTTCAAGTGCTGTGGGATCCCTTAACAGAAAATTTGGAAAATCTTCTACAAGCAATAAACGCTTATCGTTACCGGCCATCTCCAAGAGTGATCTATAGCGTGAAGCTTTAAAAAGAAAAGCCTTAAACGTATCAACTTGTGAACTTGTAAAATTCGATTCTCCATACACTTGATCACCCAAATTATAAATCATTTCTTGATCAATGGGATTGGTCCATTCCTGAATGGTATAACCCGTATCTTTGGCTAGAACTTGTACAGCAGCTGTTTTGCCACAGCCCGAAGGTCCGGTCAACAAACACAATTGAGCTGGTCGTTTTTTCTTTTTCATAATTTCGCAATGTTTCAGCCACTGTTCGAATTCTTGTATCTTTTTTGGATGTACCGCCAAATCTTCAGTCTTCTTGGGAGCGTATAAATCAATCCAATTTTCAGTAGTAATACAGATATTGGATGGCATAGCTGTCGATTTCTTTTGCTTCGATTTATCATCTTCATCATCGCTATCTAAATTCACGACAGCGGTTACTTGTTGTGGTCGTTCATTTGTAGATCTACTCCGTAATGATCTCTTTGCCTTGGGTTTATCTGCAATTCCGGGACTAGCTACTGAATTATTGTTATTATTCGTTTCCGTTGGTAATTGGGAGAATACCGACTTAACCCATGTTTTCTGGAAATATTGGAAGGGTATTATTGAATATCAAATTGAATATGTTCATGCTAAATACCTTCCTAGTATTCATTGCAAATTTGCCAATTTAATTTTGTTAATAAACAAACAGATAAAGACCCGGAATAAAATCGTTCAATATAATGATTCACCGACTAAAGCCAAGTGAACCCAATTTTGTCAAGCCACTGTAAAATGATAACACATCTCTCGCTAGTCTATGAGTCTGTTCACATGCACAAAAAATAATAGACATTTAATTTTTATGAGGTTCCGCAACATAGCAAATATAATATATATAAACGTGTGGGCCACACGATATATTCCAAATTTGACAGTACATATGACATTGATGGCTCGAATGTAAACAGTTAATTATAAAAGGTAGGGTATCTTTTGTCAACAAAGGGAAAATACACCTCTACCATGTGGGCTATATCGTCAAAATAAATGGAAACAAACTGGTGGTAGCGCTGTTAATACTCGATAATAACTTAAAATACCAAAATAACTTAAAACACAAAAATGCAAAAAAAAAACACTCTTGGTCCAAAGATGTCAGATAAGAATGGTTTTTGGAAATTCGTACTAGAACGGTACGAAACGTTCTAAAAAGTACTGCATATGGTATTATTTGTATTTGGGGAACCGATAGAGCTAGAACTCTTAAATTTGAAATGAGGGTCAATTATGGAGTGTAGAATAGATGAAGCAAAGAGTTTTTTTTGGAGTTTGAACTATAATTAGCATGTGAATGGGTAGAGCTAAAAACATGAAATTTGGAATGCGAGGTGATTGATGTGGTTTTCAAATCGTGTACTCATGTATAAACAAAATATTACTAATACTAATTTAATTGGAGGTCCAAATGGAGCTGGAATCCTGAAATTTGAAATTAACATTACCGCCGGAGTGTAGGATTGGACTTTTTACGTGTTTTCGGATTTTTTTTTTACTTATGTGTACGAAAAATACTAAATTGTACTATAATTGGTACAATTTGTATTTGATTGAACAAAAAAGCTGGGATTCTGAAATTTGGAGTTATTATCATTGTTGGGGTGTAGGATTGGGGTGTATAGAAAATTAAAAAAAAAAAAATCGTGCTAATAGATTATATTTGACGTATAAGCAATGGAATTGTCATTTGAGATCGAGTGGATTTCGTAAATCTAAACATTTAGGATTATTGTTGGGATGTAGGATTGGGCTATGTGGGAAATTCGTATTAATGTGTACTAAATGGTACCAACATTTGGATTGGGAGAACCGATAGTGCTGGAATCTTAAAATTTGATGTTAGGATCACTGTTGGGGTGTAGGATTGGGCTTTGTAGAAAGTTTTGGAAATTCGTACTAATGTGTACTAAATGAGATCGAGCGATTTCGTAAATCTAAACGTACATTAGGATTATTATTGGGATGTAGGATTGGGCTATGTAGAAAATTCGTACTAATGTGTACTAAATGGTACCAAATTTGGATTTAGGTGAACCAATACAGCTGGAATCCTGTTAAGACAATTTTGTATAATTGTACTAATCTGTACAAATTTGTACCAAATGTGGATCTAAATTGTTAATAATGGTCGGTATTGGGTTTTAAATACTACATTCGGTAACGAAGTAGCGGATATATGCTAGTAAGTTAATATTTTGGTGTAGAACAAGTAACAAAAGTTTGATAAATAAACTCTGATGACATGAATAGTTTTGTATAATTTTGGTTAATTCATGTACGTAATTCTAAGAAAGAACTACGATGTTCAAATGCCTGTAAGAACATGGCATTAATTCATATACGTAAGTCTTGATTTAGATTAGGCGAGTTTACTTGCGGCAATTCTTCTATTTTGAACTTGCTTCATGCGTCTATACAAGGCAATTCGGTTTCCAAAATATTTTTCTATTTGTTGTTTTTTCACATTTAAATATATATAAAATGTCAACAAAGACGAAATACACAAAACGAATTGCTAGAAAATTGTCGGTACGAGCAATTTTTTTCACTTCTATTCTCCTTGCCCCTCTCTCCTACAAACAAAGACTTGCCGCAAGTAAACTCGCCTAATCTAAATCAGGACTAATTCGTTTTGAAAACTACATTTGTTATGTCCCAATTAATATTAGGCGAGTTTAATTGCGGCAAGTCTTTGTTTGAAGGAGAGAGGGGCAAGGGGAATAGAAATGAAAAATGTTGTTGTTAGTTCTACTAGTGTCAACTCATTTCACAGAAAAATGTAAACAAACAAACAAATTATCATCAAATTATTTTTATTTTGAAAATGGAATATTTTCGAATCCTCAAAATAAAAATTGAAAAACATGAATGAAAATCTATCAAATTTATATTTCTATCGCTTCCACATCTTTCCTTTAATTGAGCCATTGCCATATACCTATATGTGTAACACATATGACAATGCTGGGAATAGCGAGTAATTCCTTCAAGAAAGATTTGCTTCCTCAAACTTTCCCAGCAGGCAGATTGAGTAAATTGAATACGGGAGCACATTAATAAAGAACAATTTCGAATTGTATGCGTTCCCAATTTTCCTGTTGGGTGATTTTTAAAAACATAATTTGTCAAATTTATATTGACACTAGTATTACGTTGAAATCAAATCAGCTGGGATTTGCTGTTACCTTTTATAATTGTACCATGTATAGAGGCATGGAGCAAGTTCAAAAGAGAACGATAAAAATTGCCGCAAGTAAACTCGCCTAATATAAATCAGGACGATAGTGCTGCCATTATTGCCGGGTAGAGGTATCCCTAATCGGCAATTCTCGCCATGTCTCTTTCTCAACAATGCACTTTTCTGCTTTGAGTTCCTTTTTTATCGACCATTTCTTCTTGTTACCCTTTTTGGTGGAACGTTTTTATTTTTTTCGGCGTCACTCACATCTAGAAAAAGTTTCTAGAAAGAAAAATCTCATCGGGAAAAGAAGTAACGACTTCAAGAAAATTGTATTTTTAAAAATAAAAAATAATAATAAATATCTATTTGATATACTCATTTGGATTAAGCTGCTGGAAATCATTTAACAAGAAGTAAAACAACAAAGAATAAGAAAATGGGTTACGATGGTAGGAATTAATGAAAAGACCAAGCATTAGTTGTAATAGATATGTAATCAATTTTTTTTTCACAGGACGTAAAAGACATCGAACACATTCTCGGTCGCGTTCTCGTTCACGATCGCGATCCCGTTCCAGATCAAGGTCACGTTCCCGAGAACGTTTCTATCGCAAAAGTACTAAATCCCGCGATCGTGACCGTTCCCGTGATCGTTCACGAGAACGTCGACCACACAAATCATATCGACGCAAACCATCCCTATACTGGGATGTACCACCACCCGGTTTTGAACACATAACTCCCATGCAGTACAAAGCAATGCAGGCTTCTGGACAGATACCACCCAATACTGTACCAGAAGTACCACAAGCTGCTGTACCCGTTGTCGGTTCGACAATAGCCCGGCAAGCTCGCCGTTTATATGTTGGCAATATACCATTTGGTGTTACCGAAGATGAAATGATGGAATTCTTTAATCAACAAATGCATTTGGTTGGTTTAGCCCAGGCCGAGGGTAACCCCGTCTTGGCATGTCAAATTAATTTGGATAAGAATTTCGCATTCCTGGAATTTCGTTCGATCGATGAGACCAGTCAGGCGATGGCTTTCGATGGCATTAATTTCAAGGGTCAAGTTTTGAAGATTCGCCGTCCACACGATTATCAACCATTGCCGGGAACAACAGATACGAAAATTATACCAACACTTGCTTGTATGTATAAAAAAACAACATTAATTGAATTCTTATTGATTTGAAATATATGTATTTTTTTAATGCTAATTTTCAGCTAAAGTGGTAACCATATCCACTGTTGTACCCGATTCCCCACATAAAATATTTATTGGTGGACTTCCCAATTATTTGGGTGACGACCAGGTAAGTAGATTAATTTGCTGTTTCTGCGAAATAATTGAAATGGTTGGAATTGTTTTATTAGTTTAAAAATATTTTCATTTTCCATTTGCAGTTTATAAAAAAATTCTGTTATTTTAGAGCTTATGATTAATTATAAGCCATAGGAATTATTACAAAGACAAGCTATGTTTTTGGTATATTGGATGCCATGGAAAAGATAATGTGTTCGCCTCGAAATATGGAGGCATATTCCGTACTGTTGAAGTAGAATCCTGAGTCCATATATCTGTTATATGCAGGAGAGATTTCGTCATATTTCCGATAATGCCTTCAAATTTCTCATAGACCAAGAATGTTTCAAATAATTGATTAAAGAATCAAATCAAAACATATGAAGAGTTATAATCAATAGGAATTATTACAAGAACAAGCTATGTTATTGGAATATTGTGTACCATAGAATGGAAAACGGGACTGCCTCGAAATTTCGATGCATATTGCTTACTGTTGTAGAATCGGTTCAGATTTAGATATAGCTCCCTTATATATTTTCGTTCGGTTTAATGTAAATGGTGTACCAAAGTCCCTATATATAATTCGACTTGAACGAAATTTGGCATTTTAATTGGGTTTATATTAATGTGTGTTAAGTTTCGTGGAAATCGGTTCAGATGTAGATATAGCTTTTCGTCCCATTTAATGTAAATGGTGTATCAATGTTCCTATATATCTTTCGATTTGGATGCAATTTGGCACAACGTACAGAATTAAGTCTAGAACAGTGTGTGTTAAGTTTCTTGAAAATCGGTTCAGATTTAGATATAGGTCCCATAGATATTTTCTTTCGATTTAATGTAAATGGTGTACTAAAGTCCCTGTATTTCATTCGATTTGGATGCAATTTGGAACAATGTACTGAATTAAGTCTAGAATAATATGTGTTAAGCTTCGTGAAAATTGGTTCAGATTTATATATAGCTCCCTTATATATTTCATTCCGATTTAATGTAAATGTTGTACTAAAGTCCCAGTATTTCTTTCGATTTGGATGCAATTTGGCTGGCTCTACGCTATAAATTGTAACGATTTCTCGACAGTTCTTCTCTTCTATCGCAAAATCATAAATGTTATGTGGAGTTTTCTTAAGCGATGTTTGTAGAAGTTGAATTTGAATTCTGGCCACTCCTTCTGGAACTACTATTTTTTACTTTTTTCAGCAAAAAATATATATCTCAATTTCAGCGAAAATAAAACTTTTCCTTTTCAGCAGTAAAACAAAAGTCTACATTTCAGCAAAATTAAAATTCCTCTTTTTTCAGAAAAAAAGATTCTCATTTTCAGCAAAAAAATATTTTATATTTCCTCCTTCTTTCAGCGACAGTTCTTTTCAGCATATGATTTTGTTGTTGTTAAACATTTACTGATGTGTTTTTTTATTCGTTTATATAATTGTAGATTAGTATGTGCAACTCAGCGAATGCGACAAGCTTTGTCATTAAAAATATGAGTATTTCTTTCAAAAAATTGTTTTATTTAGTATAAACAAAACAAAAAACAAAGAAAAGAATTGAAAACACTTTACAGTCATAAACACAATGGTCCTCCAATTGCATTGTTATACCTATCTTCCTCTAAAGAAATTTATCATAAAAGGCAAGTTGTGTTTATATATATGAAAATAATGCATAAACCATAATATTATTGCCATGGGCAATAACAAATAACAAATGCAATTAGTTTAAAGAATAACTAATTATAACAAAACATAACAAATATTTAATTACAAATCCCCTGAAATCCGTTTATTTAATTTGTTTTTATTTTAACTTTTTTTGTTTAGGTTAAGGAGCTACTTTTATCCTTTGGCCAATTGCGAGCTTTTAATTTAGTTAAAGATGCTTCAACTGGCTTAAGCAAGGGCTATGCCTTTTGTGAATATGTGGATTTAAGCATAACAGATCAGGTAATTTAAATTGCTAGTACATATTTGATTAACATCATTGAAAACAACTTACATAATTTCAATTTATTTTTATATAGGCAATTGCTGGCTTGAATGGCATGCAATTGGGCGAAAAGAAACTGATTGTACAAAGGGCGAGCGTTGGTGCCAAGAATGCACAAAATAATGCAACTGCTGTGGCTGCACCAGTCACAATACAGGTAAAAAATGAAATATTTTTTAATTGTATATGACACAAGTTATCAAGGGGTAAACATTACAATGTACAGCGTACTGTATTGGATCTAGAATGATGTGTGTTAAGTTTCCTGAAAATCGGTCCAGATTTAATGATATAAGTCCCTATATATATTTGCACGAAATTTGGCATAGCGTAATGTATTAGGATGTAATGTGTGTTGTAAACGGTGATATATCATATAGTCCCTATAAATCTTTCGATTCACACGAAATTTGGCATAGCGTAATGAATTAGGTGTAGAATGATGTGTGTTAAATTTCCTGAAAATCGGTTCAGATTTAGATAATAGCTCCTATATATTGTTTCTTCCGATTTTATGTAAATTGTGCACTAAAGACCCAAAGTTTGTCCGATTGCCATACAATTTTGTACAATGAACTGCAGTTAATATAAGTTAATTTCTGTGCAAGTCTCATTGAAATCGGTTGAGATTTTGATATAGCTTCTACGCATATATTTTCGTCCGATTTTAAACAAAATTGACACAAACATAACCTAGAAGTTGGATATACATAAATGCTTCACCAAGGTGGGTCCAATCGGCACAAAATTTTGCACTATGTACTGAAGTTACTATAACATAACGTGTGGCAAGTTTAGTTGAAATTGGTACTGATTTAGATATAGCTTCCATAATTAGTTTCGTCCGATTTTAAGTGAATGGTTCACCAAAGACCCAAAGGTAGGCCGATTGACACAAAATTTTGCACAACGTACTGAAGTTAATACAAATTTGCGTGGATTTAAAAAATATATTTTGCGCATTTTTTAAAAATAATTTTAAAGGCATGGATTTGTTTGCTTTAAAGAATGTTTTTAAAGGACAATCAATAAAAATCTTCTCTAAAGGTTTACTTTGAAAAATTTATAATTAAAAAATCTAATCTATAATGACCCCCTTAAATTTATTTTATTTATTTATTATTTTTTTTTAATTATTTCTTAATTATACTTATTTTCAACAGGTCCCTGGCCTATCCAATTTCATTTCATCCGGCCCACCCACTGAGGTATTGTGTCTGCTCAATATGGTCACACCAGATGAATTACGCGACGAAGAAGAATACGAAGATATTCTCGAAGATATTAAGGAAGAATGCAATAAATACGGTGTGGTACGTAGCGTTGAAATACCACGACCTATTGACGGTGTAGATGTTCCCGGTTTGGGTAAAGTATTTGTCGAATTTAATTCTGTAATGGATTGTCAGAAGGCTCAACAGGCGTTGACGGGTCGTAAATTTAGTGATCGTGTTGTAGTTACATCATACTTTGATCCGGATAAATATCATCGTCGGGAATTTTAAATTCGAAACAAGCAAACAAAAACAACCAAACTTCTTGTCATCTCACAATTTCTTTTTCCCTGCTATTTGTCGTAGTTTTAAGTTACTTTTCTTTCACACATACATCCCCAAAAATATATGAATATTTTTGTTTGTACAAATAATTTTTATCGAATAAAAATTAATTACTATCAATTTAAAACATCCACATTCAAGTAATTTTGCTAAGGCTGTGAATATTTGTTATAGATTTGTGGTAAGAAATTCAGTTACCGTTCCTCTGTTGCTATAAATGGTGCATATTCCTTGTCAGCGTGCGGCATACTCATTGCACTCAGTTGCATATCTCACGGCTACATTCTAACAACTTTGTATATATTTCCACTGTATATTGCTTCCATTTTAAAATCAACCTGGCTACTGGAAAATTACCAAAATGCAATAATAATCTAAAAGATGTTTTTTTTTACATTGGTCAAAATATAGAATTATAAGGAATTCATCCAGTAACAATCCAGTAACTCTCTCATTTTACTCTATTTTATTAAACAAACACCCTCCAGTAACATTTGGTAACAATTGTTACTAAATATCGAATTAACAGACACAACTTGTGATAGATGAATTTTTTAGTACCCAAGGGTTTATGAGCTGTTGCAGTTTAACAGTAAACGATGAACAGTCAGTACACGAACCGTTAATTGGGAATCCCCTTTAAAGTTATATTTCGCACTTATCGCAATAAACCCATATCATTCTTTTGGCAAACATTATTTTCCGTTGAATTCTGTTATCGAACAATTTACTTGTTATTACTGCTGACTGTCCAAGTTAGTTTGCTGTATACGCTTGATAAGAACTAACCTGCGAATAACTTCAAAATATCAATGGAAAACAAAGAAGAGGAGAAATTACCCGTGGTTATTGGGGCTTCCATATTTGACATTAAAATATCTATTTGCGATGATGACATACCCATAACAATGGATGGTGCCATGTACAAGGGAAAACAACCTATACAAACAGCTGGAGGTGTGGGGAAAAATTTAGCCGAATCCATATACAAACTATACGGAAAAATAAATTTCATTTCGGTAATTGGTGATGATATTATGGGTGAATCTTTACTTCAACTATTGCCGGAAGCGTTAAGATGTAACGTGGAAAAAATGCACGGTTATCCAACTGCCTCTCGTACTACCATCGTTGATAAGAATGGTGATGTCAAGCTGAAATTATGTGACATGGAAATTTACAATGTAGATATGATTCGTACTCATACTAATTTATTATATTTAGCATGTGTAATCATAATCGATGGACATTTACCAGTACGTTAAATAACTAGGATTTTAATGGCGGCTGAGAAGGAAAAAATCCCGGTATTTTATGAACCAACCGATTTGCGAGTTTCTAGGAAGATTTTCTGTGCAAATATAGGTGTTTATACCAATACTATACGTCTTATAACACCCAATTATGCTGAACTACAAGATATGGTCAAAGCACTGTATAGAGAGGACTATACATTCGAAAACATTGATTTGAATAATATCGAAGAATCTCTGAAATCGGTTAAGAGGATGCTAGAAGCAGTAGCACATTTGTTTGATTGTGTTGTGGTTACATTGGGTCAACGTGGTATTGTATTATCTCTGAATTCATCCGTTAATCCATATACACAATCGTTATTTGTCAAACAAAAATACATTTTCGATCCAACTAGCAATCCCGAATTATCAAAACAAATAATATTTTTTCCAACTCCGGTGGTAGTTGAAAATATTGTCAGCCCTTCTGTTGCGGGAGATAACTTTGCTGGTGGTTTTATTTCAGGACTATTAAGGGAATTCACCGTAATCCAATCTATTGACTTGGGATTTCATGCAGCTACACACGCTATGAAGACAGCAATTGTAAAAAGCAATTTTCCACTACCAGAATATCAAATGTGGCTATATCCATTGTTAAGAAAACCAGGTAGTCTTAATGAAAAACTGTTGAGTTGAGAAGTTGTTAAAATGTTTAAAAATTGTGCGTTATCTTTTGTTTATAAATCAATGTATTTCTATATTTAAAGATCAATACATGTAAACTAACTAACTAATATATTATTCTACTAAAGAATGATCATTTATAATATTTATACCAAGGAAATGACCACGCCTAAAACAAGGTCAAACAGTGTGTCCAGCTGACTAGCAACATTGTCTCAATCAAATATAAAATGTATTTTTTGTTTCGGCCATTTTTTGTATATTTAAGGACAGTTGTTTTCGACTTATTTGTATTAAATTGTCTTGTTTGGAAAAGTGACAAACAAGTATTTGTTTATCAGAAGCTGTATTTATAAGAATTTAATAAATCCAATAGATCTAAATGGTCAATTCCCGTGCACAAAAAAGGAGACAAGACGATATGTGCCAACTATAGAGGAATAAGTCTCCTTCCCATCGCATATAAAGCAGCGTTCGAAAATAAACATTATGGTACCGTTCCATAGTGTTCTGTACCGTACCAAGGTGGATAGGTACACTAAAATAACGTACTGTACCGGTACACAAACACTAAAAATATTTTTAGCGTTACTGTTCCGGAGCACAACAAAAATCTTAGCGTACCTGCTGCGGTACACTAAAAAATCGTAGTGTACCGACAGCGGTACACTAAAAATCGTAGTGTACCGGCAGTGGTACACTAAAAAACCAGCGTTCCACTTACTTGAACTGTACTGGTAGTGTACCATACACGTCTGTTTTTTAGGTAAAATGATAATATAATAAAAAATAAAACTGAATATAACTTTATTTGCAATTACAAAAGTGAAAATGTCCATCAGAAATAGGTATTTTGGCCAGTTTTTGTTACAAAATTATTCAGCTTTGGATAAAATGTTCATTGATTTACACAACGAACATCCCATAATATTGGGAGATCTCCTTGTAAAATGTTAGTACGAAAACATTATTTCTTAAAACAATTATACCTGCATCCATCTATGATTCATACTTCTAGGAAATTTTAGCAAAAATATTCAAAATTTGGTGATTGTCACACAATCAACATAATAATTACCTGTTTATTCATTAAAAGAAGTGTACAAATTACGCGGATATGGAAAACATATTTTTATGATTTTGGGATAAATATTACAAAACCACACACAGGTACCATATCAACAACGAATTTCATATATGATATTTCATAATGGATATTATTGGAATATTCTTCCTTTTTATGATTTTTGCACAGGTAGTCTTATGCAATACATTTTTCCGATCAGCACAATCGATTATGGAATTTTCAGTTGCGAGTTGGCATCTGATTGAATTTTCACTAGACGACCTTTTTTAGTTATAAAATATTTATTATGTTAAACGGTTGATGCTAATAAAATATTACTATTTTTTAATAAAATATTAAAAAAATTTAAAAAGTTTTATATTTATTAAATCTATTGGAAAACAATAAAAATATAAATTTTATTCATAAAAAAATAAAATATAACAAATACATCTTTTTGTGTTCCGACAAATGGAACACTACGATTTTAAGTGTTCCGTCAAGTGGAACACTACGATTTTTAGTGTTCCGCCAAATGGAACACTACGATTTTTAGTGTTCCGACCGCGGTACGCTACGATTTTTTTAGTGTTCCGACCGCGGTACACTACGATTTTTAGTGCTCCGACCGCGGTACACTACGATTTTTAGTGGTCCGACAGCGGTACACTACGAATTTCGTTGTGCTCCGGAACAGTAACACTAAAATATTTTTTAATGTTTGTGTACCGGAACACAAACGCTAAATTTTTTTTAGTGTTTGTGTTCCTGGTACGGTACACTACGATAGTGTACCGTTTTTTTGCGAACACTGATATAAAGTGCTATCCAGCGTACTGTGTGAACAACTGATCCCAATGGTCAATGACATTATTGGACCATACTATAAAGCCGCATTCGACAGCCCTATCCGTTCAGAGGCGTATAAAGCCATGTCTGCGTTTGGCATTCCTGCTATGCAGGATAACTTTAACAGGCACGATATCAGCAGTTAAAGTCGGAAAGGACCTCTCGGAGCCCTTTAATACCGAACGAGGATTCAGACAAGGCGATAGTTTGTCGTGCGACCTTTTTAACATCCTGCTGGAAAAGGTCATACGTGAGGCAAAAGTGAACAGAAATGACACTCTGTATACCAAACAACACATTTTACTCGCCTACGCCGATGACATCGACATAATGGGTCGAACATTGAGAGCGGTAACAGCCACCTTTAAACAAATTGAGAAGGAGTCTGCCAAAGTGGGTCTGGCAGTAAACGGCGAGAAGACCAAGCTGATGGTATCAACGCGCAAGACGTCCAGTAGACTCGGGCCAACTGTGAAACTTGAGAACTACAGCTTCGAGGTAGTTAAAGATTTCATATACCTTGGCCCCACCATAAATAAAACGAATGACATCAGTTTTGAAATTCGGAGAAGGATTGTGATGGCCAACCGATGCTACTATGGTCTGACCAAACAACTCGAAAGCAATGCCACCTCCCGCCAGAGGAGGGGCCGATCTGCGTTGACGGTGAATATCTATGGGCCGACCTGCGTTGACGGTGAATATCGCCGTCGAATGAACCATGACTTGTACCAGCTATTATCGGACATCGACATTGTTAGACGTATTAGCTGCAGCGACTACGTTGGCTAGGTCATGTTGTGAGAATGGATGAAGATGCCTCAGCCCAGAAGCGAACCAGCTAATGGTTCACGCTGAAGGGGAAGGCCAAGAATACCTGGAAAGATCAAGTCGAAGTCAACATCACCGAAAATGGTCTTTCAAATGGGAAAAACTGCGCAAAAGACCGACGCGCCTGGAAATCTTTTCTAATCTCGGCTTCTATCACAAGCCAGCTAAGTAAGTAAGTAAGTACTGAATTCAGAGCAGAATGATGTATGTTAAGTTTCGGCTGAAAAGTCTCGGACTTGTCATGTCTTAAATAATAAAAATCGATGTTTTCATACAATTTACGAACGATTTCGTTCCGATTTGAATGGAATCATGTAACAAAACATCTGAAGCCGTTGTTTTGAAAAAATGTGCATTTTTATTTTGAATTTAACAACATAATTGATGTTTGTTTTAAACTTAATGAGAAATGGGATGAAATATCTAGTTATAAAGTGTATATTTGCCTAATAGGGTTTGGGTTAAGTATTACAGGATTCTAATATAATAATTCGAAAACAATTTATTTTGCCATTTTTTCCCAACAAACAGTCGAAATTGCTTATAACACTAAAAGACATAAAGGGAGCCCATGTTCGGGGGTTTCAAAAATTCCGTATGGGGCAATTCCAATTCCAGACAATTTATTCCATGTTATTAGCAATGATTTTAAATGATATGCATATTATTTTAATCGGTTGGTTAAAACCGGTAACAAAATCGTTTTTTTATCAGAAAATCGTATTCAAAAATATAGATATCCCTATTAATGTGTTCATAATCCTTCATTTATTCAAATTCTATTAGGGTACTCTTTTTAGAGGACAATCATCTATTTTAACTGGCTGTCGTCTATAAAATGTATGTCCTCTATCTGTCATCTATTTCTATAATCTGTCATCTTTTAAAACCTTGATCAAAAAAATAATTTTTTTTGAAATTTCAGTGAAGTAATTATCTGTAATTTTAAATTCTGAGTTCTAATTGGGTAAGAAATTTTCATAAATAGTTATTAATTTATTAAATGTTGGTATTTTTACGGTTCCTGGACACGTTTTGCAACGAATTGGCCATAATTTGATGTTTTGGTTTCTATGTTTGTAGGTGTCCCCAATATAACGAAGCACACCTTTAAAATTTACAAATTTGTCTTTAAAAGTTAATGTAATTTACAATTTTATGTTGTCTATGGGTTGCAACATGTCCTTGCAAAACATAGTCGACATAGGTCTACTTCTATGTCGATTTATATAAAGATCGCAAAATTATTCGCATAGGACCAAAAATTTGGCACTGTCGTAATTAACGACTTTTAACCCAATAGTTTTACTATCGGTACACATAAAAACTACAAATTCTCCCCTTACCAATAGTGAATGTTTTACGCCAATGCATGCATTCATTAGAGTAACTTCGGGTAATGTGGACCATGCGTCAAATGTGGACCACCCCCCATATCTAAGAAAATGCTTGAAATATGTCAATGCCGCCTTGATAAATATTTTCCTTATTAGTGAAAACCAACATCAAAATTGGTTTTTAATAAATAATTGCAATGTTGAAAATGTAGTAGTAGAAAATGTAGCTCTGATTGTAAAAGTGTGATTTGAAAATTTTT